TGCATCACACTATCTCTACACACACACACACACACACACACACACACACTAACAAAATAAAATTCTAAACAAGGTCTTGACCCAAATATCTTAAAACAAAATAGACTTCCCTAAATCTACCCATCTGTAGAAAAATAGCCTCCCTTCCTCCGCCCCAGGAAAAGTCTGAGGAAAACAAACAGATGAGTTCTTGCAGCATCTGAAAATGACCAATTTCAGGCTCTGGTGAGCCAAGTTGCAGCAGCAGCAGGAAGCAATTTCCAGAGTCAAAGATCCTTTCCTAAGAACTCCCAGTGCCTTCCCAATTACATTAGAGAGGAATTCAAGCAATTGCTCTGGTATCACAAGGAGAGAGACCATCTCTGAAGTTGCTAGGACCGAGCCATCAAGGTGTTTTATTGGTCAAAATCAACACTTGAAGTATTACATGCAGCAGATTTTAAAAGGAACTCTGGCATAGACTGAGTTAGGCTGTGTAGAGGAATGTGCCCACTTTATCCGTGCCTTGAACCGAGGACTCTCTGCCAACAAACCAGGATCTTTCTCCAGGACTCGGCACAGTTACTGATTGGACTTCTACTAACAACTCACCTCTGGCAACCTGGCTTCAAATCCTAGATGGGTCACAATACAGAAGGAGTTTTGTGGCCTTAACCAATCTAGTCCCCAATGTTCACTTGTCTACATCACCCACACTTCAGCATCCTCTTCTCCCCAGAGACCCATAACTAAAAACATGCATCATCAGATCAGGATTGTTACACCTCACATAAGCATCCGTACCACCCTGCACAGCTGGAACTTTGATGCATCTGACTGTGCTGAATATCGAGAGGAACTCCTTTCCCCTCAAAACGTACACCTAGTTTGGTTTCTCGGTACCGAACATTTGGCAATGAAAGACAACTATTGTCATCTCTTTGGGTTTTACAAACTGTAGTGGAGTACAAAAGAGGTTGGGGGTTAGACCATATCTGGTGTAAGTTTTCAGTGTGAAATGTAGGGAATTTAACTGTGCTCCCACTCAGATGAAAGTGGCTTGCAGCTACTTTACCCATCAGCATTCCTACTTTATTCCCGGGGAACTCTGCACCAAAAAAAATTAAAAATTCTGCACACAATATTTTAAAATTCTGCAAAATTCTGCATATTTTATTTGTCATAACACACTATAATCACACCACTTTCAATTATTTTTGGTCATTTATTTCAAAATACCTGTCAGCAAGTATGTCTGTAACAATACAAACAAACAAGATTCAGAAAATGTTTTTTGAGAAATAGATTTCTTACTAGGGATATTAATACATAACTGAGTAATAATTCATTTAAACTACAATACATAACTGTATTTCCTGCACCCCTCAGAAGCAGAGCAAATGCTTGGGGGAGTCGGGGGTAACGGAGGAGGTGAGGGAGAGGGAAGTAAATTGCTGGGGAGGAGCCTGCGTGTAAACTTGGAGGGTTATTGGGTATGGGTGGGAAAAGTATGGAACAGGTTTTTTGGGGAGGATAGGAAGTGATTGTTAGGGCACATCTGCCCCTGTCCCCATGTGTCCTTGCACACTCTATGTGCGTCTCTCCTCCCCCACTCAGATGCCCACTCCCCCACATCCCCATGTGGCCCTGCACCCCCTCCCAAGTGTCTCTGAGCCCCCAACTCAGCCATCTCCCTGTCACTATGTAGCCCTGCACTTCCATTCACCCCCTGCCCCAGTCTGTCCTCCCCCACTAACCATTATGAGCCCCTGTCTGAGCCCCAGCAGCCCCACACTGTCTGTCTCCCCATAGCCCTGTCTCCTGACCTAGCCCAACATGCGCTGTGAAGAAGGCTCTGCAGGTGCTCTCTCTTCCCTAGCTGGCCAGGAGCTGCTGTTCTGTTCTATCACCACAGCACTCTCTGGTGAGCAAAAGGTACAACTGCAGAAACTTTCCGGCAAAAGCTGTTTTCTGCATAAAAAATTAAAACTATGCGTGGCTTATTAATTATGCATGCATAGTGGCACAGAATTCCCTCAGGAGTACTTGAACCATATGTCTTTGGTGCATTGCAGTCCATCCATGTCCTATGCCAAGAAGGTTCTCATTGCCCATTGCCCTTCTTCAGCTTCCTCCTGCTCAGAGCCAAATTTAGGGCCTTTAGGAGTATGTCCTTGTTGTTCAGGACATTGTAGCAGTTCACTTCCACCAGCCTGTCAAAGTCATAGGGCTCAAAGGTGAAGTTTAGCGTGCGGTAAGGAGAGTCTTTTCCCTCAATGACAAAATCACCAAAGGATTTCTCATCTTCTGACTCGCGTTCTATTCCTGAAACCAGAGAAAAATAAACTGTGAAAATCTTACTAGAACTCTTTAATTGAATCACCAATGAAGGTCACAGGTCAACTAAGCAGGTGTCAACTTTTGCTCACTCTCCTGGTCAGGAATTGCATGAGAAGAGATTTCAGCACCTCAGAGTAGGGTCACAATACTTTAGCTTTCAAACTTTAAGCCAAAGTACCATCTCCACTTCATACATCCACCACCCTCCAAAAACACAGATTAAAGAGAAAAAAATTGTTTTGCTGCAATAAATCACAGTATGGCACACTACAGGATTAAGCTATAATTTTGAGGTGAGAAATACTAACCTGACTTCAAGGTAATAAAGTTAATTCTTCCTGGAAGGGGCCGCCCACATTAGGATAACAGGTGTGTTTTTAACACCTTAATATAGACAGGGCCACTTGGACTTTAACACGTGTTACCATAATATAGAAAAAAGGCCCCCATGCCTTCTATTGTAACTAAACTTGATTTTAAAATGACTAATGGGGTTCTATGAGTAAAAAGGTGTTTCAGGTTCTCAGGTGGAAAAATGGCTGGGAATTCCTAAATTATAATCCTTGAGGCAACGCTAACTGATTGTATTTCAGACCTCTTTATAATACAAATACAGTGACCATCACACCATCAGGATAAACCCCAGAAATATTAGTTCACATCTACATCTAGCCATTATATGTGGCAGAACTACTTGGTAAGGAAGGAGTTGGTTCATAGAGGAGCAAATAATTGTCTATTTAGATTCCCCCACACTTTACATAGCTTTTGGGACAGCCCTGTTCCTCCCTTCACCAAAATGAAACACTTCTGTTGCTCTTTCTGTAAAAAAGTAATATTGCTCAATAGCTTACAGGGAACTAGGTAAGGGAAAGCTGTGATATTTTATGGTTAGAGAGACAAGGTGGGTGAGGTATCTTTTTTTCTTCAGGGCAGGTCCGAGACCCGAGGAAGAGCTCTGTGTAAGCTCAAAAGCTTGTCTCTCTCACCAACAGAAATGGGTCCAATAAATGATTACCTCACCCACCTTGTCTCTCTAATATCCTAGGACCAACACAGCTATAACTGCATACATTTTATGGTTAGGAAAGGTCAGCCAGTCTCGCATTCTAGCTGGCTAATCATACCTGAATACCTTAATCATAGTATCTTGATGCACATTCCCTTACCCGGTGCTTTGTATTTCCGGAATGTATCATTCACCAGTGGGAAGTGAAGCACTATGGGAGCTTTTGGGTTTTCATCATCCACAAACATGTAACATTCTTTTGGTTTCTTCTCATCTTCCTCACTCAAGATGATTTGTGGAAAGGGGATTTCCTGTTCTTCACAGTATTTCTGAGTCAACTGTAAAACCTGTGGTCACAGAACAAAAGTCAAATGTTAGGTCCTGTTTTACCCAGCGAAAACAGAAAAATAGAGAATATTTTTCTTCTAACGATTATATTTATGGCACTACTACAAACTATTCAATTTTCATAATTAATTTATGTTATGTAGCAAATATTTTATAAAGTAGAGGCAGCATGTTCTAAATCACAAGTTTGGGAACTTTTCCACTGGCTTCCTCTCTGACCTAGAGCAAGTCATTTAACCTCTCTGCCTTGGTTTCCTCATCTGTAAAATGGGGATAAGTTACCTGACAGGGAGATTGTGAAAAATCAGTAAATATTTTTGAAGTGCTGCAAATGTGTAGACATCCTAAGTATTATTACATTTAGCAAGTTTTTTAAAAACACTTTCGTAATATATTTCAAACAGAAAAGTTAGTCAGTCACTATCATTTTACATAGCCAAACCTACAGTTAGACTTGGAAGGATTGGACTCAGATTTCTCACTTTGCTAAAAACAAATAAAATGCTTTCATAATTAAAATTCAAAAATTACATTGAAGAAAAGTTAACAGTATATCCTATGATGGGCTCGTAGACAAGTAATACACTGTGTTGCGGTCACCTTTTTCTGGCAATAAAATAAGGTGTTGACTAATATTAGGATTGTATTACTGAATCTGATGGAGCTCAATTTCTGTAGACATATTTTGAACAGCAACTAGACTTGATGGTGCTAGGGAAAATATTAAAATCGATAAAAATAAAAATACTTGGAAATAAATTATGTCCCTTAAAATATACTACAAATTAAAATTGAATCATTTCAAGATTATATATATTGAATTTGACTAGCTGCATGTAATATTTTGTGAACATACATTTGTATACAGCACAAATAGCCTACTGTTAGCACAAAAAAAATCACCGCCACCTTCATCTTTCCACCTAACAGTGCATTCTACTAAATGGAATAAGAATGTGCAATGGTGTGCCACAAGTCTTATACTGTTAATGGAGATTCACCTTTAGATAAAGTGTTAGGGGCCTATGCTTTTTAAGCAGAAATACTGGCATTTTACCACCACTGTCACTGTGAAGTTCCATGTATGAAATTCATGTTGTGACATGAAGTTCACAGTGAATTGCCTGGTCTGACAACTGAAGCCTTGAGTGGTCTTAGAGTTATTACAATGTGTCCTACTTCAGGAGACTCCCTATTCAAATATCTTGGACTGATCCATGTTATGAAAAATGTATGTTTCCATGCTTCTTTCCCTGTCTAATGCTGCTCACCTCAAATGGAGCATCCCAAGAGTAGTTAAATGACAGGATGACATCCACATCTCTTTCTGGCTGGAGCACCACGGGAAAGGGAGAGTTGATCGAAAAGCCACCATCCACCAAGTACAGGCTGTCTTCCATGGGAGTCAGCTGGTTGGGAAAAGCATCAAGGTGTGTACCTAACAGACACCCCCACCCCAAAAAAAAATCACCTTAGTTACCAAAAAGATGAGGAAAACTTTGGAAATGAGGAAATGAAACAACCACTGAGACCTTAAGGAGAAACCTCTAATACATGTTCTGTACTCACACACCAAAATCAGACCTGCTCTCTGGATATTCCAGAAGCAAAGTAGAAAACAGGTCTGTATCACCAGCTGGGTGATATTATTTCATAGCCAACAAGTTCTCCGATTGTATCAAATTCTCTGCTGCTGGTGTAAATTTGGCAGCACTCCACTGATTTCAATGGAGCTGTTCCAAACTTATACTAGCAAAGAATTTGGCCCAAAATGCTAAAGTTATGCATGATTTTAAAATATTAACAGAATATCCAAAACACAGTGATTTATTTCAAAATGGCTACCTTTCCAGGCTACAAAATTCCTGTTGTTGACATAATTTCTGTGAAGGTACAAGCCTTGCATGAAGTTGAAGGTTTCCCCAGAGGTGACACGGGACTTGAAGAAATCCTGGAAAATTTGTAATAAGGGTCCCCCTGGTATAACCAGACGAGTCTTTAACCGAGTGGCTTCCCGAAAATGGAATCTTTGGCAATCATCTATAACACAAGCCATGATAAAGACCAGAATATATTTAAAAGCATGCTCATTCAAACCTAGCATTTCAAGATACTAATCTTTTCACAAATGAAAGTTCAAACTAATGTCATATGACTGTTTTCCCCCCCTACATATGTGGGCACTGTAAAACCGTATTAGTCTGATTTCCAAATTAACTGAGTCTATACTGAAGTTTCATCATTTAGGATGTCTTTCAAATCTCACTCATGAGTCATGTAGCCATTCCAAACTGACGCCAATGAAAACGGTCACCATATGACATCATGGATATGCTCTCATATGGGACAACGGTCACTAGAAATACTGACCATTCACTACAATATTTCTTATGGTTACAAATGGGAAATAGCATAGTGAAATCTAACACTGTGGTATGACAAATGCAGAGTGAGAGGAAGGATGTTCTTTCTACCTACCTATTGAAGGTACTTATAGGCCTCTCCCCATCACCACAATACCTACGCACCTCACAGTCTTTAATGTATTTATCCTCACAGCACCCCTTTGAGGTAGGGAAGTGCTATTATCCCCCTTGCACAGATGTAGAACTGAGGCCCAGTGTGACTTGTCAAACATTACAGAGAAAGTCTATGGCCAAGAAGGGACTTGAACTCAGGTTTCTCAAGTCCCCAGCTAACACTCTAACCACTGGATCTTCCTTCTTCTCTTTGTAGTTTGGATATAGGACTGGGACTCAAGAGACATAGGTTCAATTCCCAGATCTACCATCAGCTTCCTATATGCCCTTGGACAAGTCACTTAACCTCTCTGCACTTCTGTGCCACAGTTCCCTATCTGTAAAACAGGAGTAACAACACTTTCTTACCGTCCAGGGATGTCACAAAATATTGTAGTCAATGGAACCAGGTAAGGGGGTGGGGCGCAAGAGAGAAGTTAATGGTGACCATTATTATTTAATCTACTGTGTAAATATATAGGCCATATTGGTGAGAGAAACTACATGACAGAGGAGAGTGGAATGCAGCTTTAGAGAAACTGTGTTAATGATCCAGCCCAGCTGAGGCTTGTCTGTCCTTGGACATTCCACAGGACTTCTTAAATTTTGGAGTTACATTTATGTGACCGTTCTGAAAAGAAACCTCTAGAAAACCCAGTTTTTAAACAAAAACTGACTATTTTACAGGGTACTGAATGGCCTTACCTATGACTCTGATTACATCTTTCAGAGAATCTAGAAAGCTCAGTCCTGAACCAACCATCTTCAGACAGACATCATCCAGACTTGCGGCAAAGGCACTGCCCCACATTCCTATAGGCAGAGGAAGGGGTAGTGGAGACAGAAATAAAGAAGGATTTAACACCCTCGTAGGCTTCTTAAACCCAGTGCAGTCAATAGAGGCTCTACCATCGGGTCACTGCCTGTTACCGAGTGGGCTGGCCCTGTAGGAGGAGTTGAGCCCTACGCCTAATTATCCCTTTCCAAAGTGATGGGTTGGGCTTCGGGCAGTGGTTGAGTCAGGTGAGCAGGCATCAGGTAATGGTAGCTCAGGGATAGTACCATCCTGTACAAGGGAGTCTACTCTGTCAGAGAAAGGGAGACTAGGGAAGACCTAAAGGAGACATCTCTACAGAGAGGCCCAGTCTGGGGTACTCCCAAAAGAGAGATCTGGGATATGTTGTGTTAATTTTGATGGCATATATGGGCCCAAAGAGTCAAAGGTGTTAACATGACCCTGAAACTGTCCAACAATGAAGAGTTTTAAACAAGGTTCAGAGTTTAGTATAGAGAGTGCTTGCTTAGCACCATGGAAAAAACAGACTGTTTAATGGTTTCAACCTTTTATTAAAGATATAGGGAAAAAAAGGAAAAACAGGTAAAGCATTTGGAATGTAAAGTATTAACGAAGGCTTTTATTTTAACCATAACTCTTATCCCCTTTTCCTTTCGCTATAGAGAGATTTTATAAGGAAAACCCTTTGTTTGACAGTCTTTTAGATTATATTAAAGATAGTAATAACTGTCCCTTTTGGGGAAAAGAGAAGATGTCAATTGAGATAGGCTGGAACTGTTATTGAAGTTCAATCCTGTTTGCTAAAGGCAAACACACACAAAAGGGGAGACAAGAGAATAGCAGAGATGCAAAATACAAATTCTGTCTCTGATGTTGCATCAATTTGCAACCGCATTGCTGGAAAAACACAGGCAGAGCACATGGCCTTATCAGCCATTCCAAGTACCAGCATCAGGATGCTTAGGGAACAACAGCAGCTTTTGTCAAAGGCTCACAACAGGGTTGCAAAGTATAGTCTTAGCCAGCTAAGTTGGACTCAGACAGTAGGAAAAGAGAAACGGGTAGGAAAGAAAAGAAATAAGGCAGGGAAGGAAAAGGATACGAGGGGTAGTGAGGAGACAGTCTCATATCCCAGTGTTTGGGATTCAGCCAGAGCCAGTGGAGGTGGCAATGTCATTGGGGTCCCTCTCTTGGACAGTCTGGTAGAATCTCTCTGGTTCCGGACAACAAAAACCCAATGGTGTCACTGTGGACCTCAGGGTCCCTGGAGTCAATGGAGGTGGCAGGCCAGGATAGTGAAGCTCACTCCTCCTTCCCCTTCTTTCAGTTAGCAATTATGCTCATGCTCGATTTCCCCTGCCCCCCCAAAGTCTTATCTTTTAAGGACCTGAAAGGGGTCAGATTCACCCCTGTGGCGCCTCCTGCTGGTTATCCTGGGAATTAGCTCATTCCAGCCCGGAGCACCCTCTGCAGGCCGGTGATCCACCTTGTCTTCAGCTGGCTCCCGTGTCCCTCCCAGGACCCCGGTGCCCCTTGCTCTAGGTGCTGCCCCTTGGCAGTACCCACACATGCTGGGTCTCCCCTCCCAGGGGAACCCCCACTCACTAACCCCACCTCACCTCAGTACCAGGCCACTGCCAGTCATTATCAAGCCCCCGCTCCCAGTATAGGCCACTCATCACAGGCAAGGTTGGGTTTGGACCTGCTGCCTTAGCCTACCTCTGGGCTGCCCGCTGCAACCCCCCAGTACCTTTGGCTAGGGTTACCATATTTTGTGCCTCCAAATGGAGGACACTCCCCGGGGCCCTGGCCCCGCCCACAGCCCCGCCCCCC